AAAATACTTTCTTGTGTATTTTGTTGTAATATTATTTATATATTATATCAACCATTATACAATAATAGATTGCATTAATATACGTCTTCGATCATACAATTATTATCGATCATTACATGATACGTGAATATAAGTGAAGGATGAAGAGGAGAGGAGGCGAGAAGAAAGTATACATGGGAGAATATATTTCTTCACAGATGTGTCATAGTCAAATCGATGAAGCACGTGTGATCTCGCGATGAATCGTCGTTAGAAGAAAGTACGACGTGCAAATTCGATCTCATCACGAGCTCAGCTCGCAATTATATGTTGCACTTTAGATATAATGCAGCGATGGTAATAGTGTTGACCTTAATAATAAAATTATAATAATAGTAGTGATAATATTAATAAAATATTTTGATAATAAACTAAAAAATAATAGTGGAAATAATAATCACGGTCGTCAACATCAATCTCGATAAAAACAGCGCCAAATAAAATATATTAAAATTTCCATCTCGCGCATGCATTTGATAAAAACAAAAAACTTGCAAGCCAATGTGCATGTGCGCTTTATTTCATTCTCATATTATCTATTCTAGTCCTTCCAGCCACTTCGAGCATGAATGATTCATAATGCTCAAACTGTTAAAACAGCACTATATATCCTTCTCGTTTACATATACTCGATCGGTTCTACGTATAACACGACTCGGTGTTATACGCAGATATACATACGTTATACATGTTATATATAGATATAACGTCGACTTTATTTGTACAAAACACACGTTGTTATAAGCGGTCGATCATTAATTACGGATAAAGAACGTAATCATTAGTGCTCGAATTATCAATTTGAACAACATTCCTCAACAGCTTCAACAAGTCAAAGAGAATCACGAATAATTGCAACGTTCCGCATCGCGGCTTCGATCGCTCTTTAAGTAATTTCTTATTTAATTAATGACTATATTGAAGACAACACGACTCTAGGAAAGATATTCTTACTTACTTGGTCCAACCAAGTTCGACTTGTTGAAATTACTGCAAAAAGATGTTATTCAACAGCAATGACGCGTGACGACCAAATCGAACGATCACTCAATTAATAAATCAGTAGATACGGTAAGGATTGAAATGACCGAATGCTAAAGACTAATCGATTGACGAAGGTACGAAAGGCACGTTTTTACATATCAATGAATAATTAATCTGTAAAAAGGAAAGGAAAAGCAAAAATTATTACACCGTTTTGCACTTCTGTATGTACAACGAATATTTAGCATAATAAACTCCGAAATGTTTAAACTATTTCGTTAGGTCGAATAGATAGATAAAATTGAAAATTTCGTGAAAGCACACGTCGCCGTACTTTGTTTCCACTTCAGTTCCACTCTGAATCTACTTTACATCCTTTTAATAGACATACCTACGTTTACCGATTGTTTGAATTTGGTAACAATACAAGCTGATGAATGTCGTCGTGAGGCATGACTTACTGTCAGTATTACTATTTTTTTTTATTCAGTTGACATAAAATATTATGTCGATATAAGCGCCAATCGATAGACAGTTTGTAATAAAGTTTTCAACTCGGTAACAATCGTAATCGATGGGCTATCGTACGGCACAAATTACTTTATACATATCACGAAGACGAGTACATCAGTCCGAGAGTCAGGCAATTTCTATTGTCCGGGATGCTTTTGATACAAGAGGACAGTCGTGAGATCCGTATTCTCGCAACGCATTTCTTTCGCACGCCAGCTTCAAAATCTAGAACACAGCCTTTCGCATTCACTTCTACTTCCTTTTTTCTTCGCGATAAAGCTGATCCAGTATCGCCTAGTAAATCCACGAATCGTTCAAGATAAAATATGTTTCGTATTCGATCAACATTCGCGCAAACTTTACGCGCCGTGAACTATTGCTATCCCTCCGTTCTAAGAGAGAGATCATACGAAATTTTTCTCCTAATCTAAAAATTACCAGTTACAATCAAAGAATTAAGACAATCTTGAGATAGAGGAAAAAAATACAGTAGAAGCAAAATAGCAACGATGACCATAATAGCAACAACGTCGACAACGACGACGAAGATGACTATGATAATGGGGATGGCGGCAATGATAATGGACAATAGCGATAACGATAACGATGACGATGATAATGATAATAACGAAGACGACGACGGCGGCAGCGACGATGATGACGACGACGTTGGTGTCGATATCGACAACGACGAACAGAAAGAGGACGACGAGAATTACGACGACGAAGGCAACGGCAACGACCGTCGACATTGGCGAATAAAATAATAAAGACAATGATGACGCCTCTCTTTCTCTCTATCTGTCTGTCTTTCTTCGTCGCAAAGTATGCATATGTAACTCTTTATTGCGTTACACACAAACGGGATAGGAGAGGCAAAATTAAATAGCGGATTAAATACATTAGCGCGACGCTTAACAAATTAAAAACGTAAAAACATTAACAGTACAATATAGTTTCCTTATCGTAGACGTAATGCGATGGCAGTCTTGAGTCCTGGAAAGATGCTGTGATTGTTGCTCGTTCGCTTCGATTTTTCTTCGCGCATTCCTCCATCCATCTCCGTTTTATCTTCCGCCATTCGTCTGTGCTTCGTTTATTCGTTACTCGTCGAATCTCGTCCTTTATTTTAAACCGAACTCGTATTCGATCTTGAGTTTAAACTTGCATGTTCGTTTTATTTTTTATGAGAAGCTTTTGCTTGTGGCAGTGTCTGGAAATATAGATGTTAATTCAAGATCAATACCGTTCGGTGTCTCACTATATATCCTTCGTATTGTTATAAATATATATATATATATATATACTTATTTATTTATATATTTTATTTATTTACGCGAATGTAATTCTATTAAAAAACACGACTTAATCTTTGCTGCAGCCATATGAATGAAATTTAGCGCGAGCGCGTCTAGTCTCTAAAGGAAAAGCTTTTAATTTTTCATCCATACCTTCAATGAGCAACACTCGGGATCAACAAATTAACCACGTCGACTGGGAACGATCGATTGAGCGAGCGAGCGAGTTGCTGAAATTTTTCGTTATTCGTCGAAAAATGGTACTCTCCAAAACAGTCGATATTATAACTATTATAAAACAGGAAAAGTTTGAAAAGAAGAAATAGCGACTCGCTCGATCGTATGATCGATTTGTAGATCATAGATTATAAGAACCGCTTTAGCATAAGCATACTAACGTTCATAAGATAAAGATAACGACGTTTAATAGATCCGTAAATATATTATATTTGTTCGCAAATCTAAATAATCTTTACGTCGGTATCAAAATCTAGAGACTAAGACAGATTGATTGGATCGCTTACCTGAGCTACGACTACCTACGCCTCGACCGACTTCTTCTTTTCCTTCTTCTTTTTAAGGAAGGATGGCGTCCTAAGGCCCTTCTTCTTTTTCTTTTCCTTCTTTGGCGATTCCTCGCTAACGCTCACATCCTGCGACATGGAACCCTTAACACGGAAGGTCCCAACCGTAACCATAAACCTTTCTGCATGCACATGCATAGAGCGTCGAACTTTCACGCTTAATCGTTCTATTAGCCAATTATCTGGTCGCATGCAAATCGATATAATAGAAGAGTTTGTAGAAAGCGAATCTATGAACGACTATGCCGGCTGTATTGTGAAAATTAATGCAAGAAGTGAAGCGACAATTCGCTCGAATTTAGACACGCTCTATATCTCTTCTTATAACATTATAAATCAAGAAATATCTTATTCCATGTTTGATTAAAATAGCATTCCCATGTATTAACGAATGCGTGAGAAACGTAATGTGAAAGAAAACCCGACGTACATATGCGGAGATTTGTATAAGTTCATTATTTTAGAGATTGAATCTAGAACCAACAATAAAAAAAATAGTAATCAACAAAAAATAAATTGATTTGTGTGCGAGCATATCAAGAATCACTCCAAATATGAATAATAAAACGCATAAAAAAATAACTTCCGATTCCCCGCATATGATATATGTGCGGCTTTGATATTAAAAGTATTGTGACAAACCTCCTTGCTACTTTGCGAAAAAGTACTGTGATGAGCGTCCGAGTGATCGCCGTTTACGGTATTCTCTCCTAGAACATAAATAACGGATTATTCAGAACGTGAATCCTCGGTTATAAAATGATCGTTAATAAAATGATTAAATCCGTAGGCAATAGTAATGACATAATTGATATAATTGCCAAGCAATCTGGAAGCCAAAGGATTGAAATTAATCCCACCAAGCCTAGACAGCTGTCAATTATGTATTATCATTATTATTGTATTTTATAAAAAATGAAAAGCAAGATAGAAACACAGACATCTTACCTTTCGAAAAACGACGTAGGTTGATACTTGTCAGAGTGTATTCGCTCGTGTGGATTTGTTATGTAAAATTAATCATTCCCAAGCAAACACGTTTTAGCGTCAATCATTCACAGCTTGCAGGATGTACGTATACCATTGAAAAGGTAATGGGATGAACGGTGAGGATTAATGCATGTCCGAATAGAGACGGGTGTAGAAAAATGATAAGCGTTATGTGCAAGCTTTTGTATCATCAAACACTTAAAAGCTGTTGCAGTAAATATTTGAAAATATATTATATAAATGAAAATTATATAAACGTTCACAATGTAAGTTCACTTAGTTACAATATCGTCAGAAGGAAGTATAGTGTAAGTGCATATTAGAATGTAACGGTCAATTAAACTTATTATCACAAGAAAATAAAGCAGAATATTCCAATTAACACATATTGCACTAAATAACAAAATCCTTCATTTATAAGTTTACAATTTAACAAAAATAAAAAAGAAAAAGTAAACAAAACTGAAAATATTAGAAAATAAACAATATTAGCACTTTTATAAATGTCAATACTAAGCTGCACGTAGGAAATTGTCAAATTGTCTTTTTCGATTCAGATGTGCTTACAATCGATTGCACAAAAGATGCGCTTTGTTCGTGCATAAAGAGACATTACAATTATAAAAGTTAAAAGAAAAGAATAGAATCATCAAAACTTAACAGACATAAAATAACGCGAATTCCTTAGCATGTAACATTTGCACGCGTACTTATTTAAATGTCTTTTTTTACTAGCTTAAGATATGTAAAAAATCGGCGCGTTGAATAGACTAAATAAACGCGCATAAAATGGTATGTAAGATTAAGTATACAAAACTTCAATAAGATGCTTTTCAAAGATATGTGAATATTAAGAGAAAGAAATTTTAAAGAGAGCACTGACACGCAAGCTAAAACGTTGTGATGAGGTTGCGTATGTCGACGAATCAATCGTCGAAATGCTTTTCCCCTTTTTCATCAAGGAAATAATATACTCTTTGATAATTTAGTTAAACAAAATCGCCAGAATTAAGAATACAGTGTCATTTTTCTGAAAGACGAGTGGAGCGCTACGTGCTCAATTGCGAGTTGTCTGCGAGGGCTTTCTCCAGACGCATAAATTCATAAGTCTCGTACGAATACGACATGCAATCTATGGAGGCATCCCAGACATTGCACTGTTCCTCAAGATTGTTCATCTCGTCGTTATCTGAGATAACATCGGAGCTGACTTCGGAGATCGTGTAGGTGTCGTCGAGGGAAACATGTTTTCTCGTGGGATTTGTTGTCGTATTTTCTTCGATAATATTGCGAGCTTTCAGCGATTCATCATCACGAATTTTCAAAGTGAGAGCAACGGAATCGATTACCTCATGTAAAGCATCATCCGGTTCCTCGCTTATAGGTGTCAAACAACTCAATTTCTCCCTTATCAATTCCTCTTCCTCGCGGCAATAGGAGCATCGTTCGTATGGCCATGTTTCTGATTTCATCACGCTTTCACCGCTTCTGGTTTTACCGATCTCGATACCGCAATCATCGTCGATCGAGTTTTCACCAAATAGATGAAGACGAGCGCTTGGCGACATATTCGCATATTCGTCCGTCGAGACTTTGATAACGCGAAAGTTCAATTCCAAAGCGCTATTGTCAATGGTAACGATCGGTAATTTCTTCGCCACGGTACAGAATTCAATCACGGCGGGAGATTCGCCATCCTCCGGCTCGCGTACTTCCATTTCGTAATTCTGATTATCGTAATCGTCCGATGATAGATTCCCCAGAAAACCTTTGATCCGACAAATATTGTCATTGCTGCTCGTGAAGACATCCGGCATGCATGCTCCAATGGCAGACTCCACAAGTGAGCACTCGCGATGGTAACCGTTGATCAAGTTGCACACTATTTCTCTTACGATGCTGAGGTCGTAAATAGAGGAATCTAAATGCAACAGAACATAAATGGACTCGATAATCTCGGCAATGATTTGCTGTGCGACTTCCACAGCATCGCTAGATGGCAACATTTCGTTGGATGCATTGAGATCGGCGATGATCTCATTGGCGGATTCATTGATACCGTTGAGAAAGACTTCGCCGTCGATATCATTCAGTTCGCGAATCGTGCAGCTTGGTAACTCAAGTATGTCGGAGCCGCTTGCTGAATACCTCTCGGATTCAAGCAGTTCTAATTCTGCGCAGCTACTATCGCTTGACAATCTGTGATCTTGCGTGGACTTGACGCATTCTGCCTTCGTCGTCGGAATCTCCGGCTCTATCCATATGTAATCGCTCAATGGCTCGTCGTTGTTACTTCTCGTTGAATCGGACTGCCACTCCAACGAGCGATTCGCCAAGTCACGCGAAGTATCGTCGTTGCCGCTGTCGTCCTGGTCAACGGCCGCCGGCGGGGTCAAGCTGTAAATGAGACTCATATTCGTCGAATCCAGATTATACTTGACGCAGGTGTCCGTGTCAGGCAAGGCGTCCAGCTCCGTTCTCGACGAAGTGATATTCACGTCGATGCTCTCGACAATTTTCGCGATATCATTATATGACTCGTACAAATCAGTCTTCGCATTATTCGGCCAGTTGCTCTCATACATGGAACATTCGATCCAAGATCGAACGCTTTGCTTCTTCAGCTCCGTTGGTTTCAATTCACCATTTATTTCCTTATCTGCCAACGTCTCATTGTCTTCGTCGCATTCGTAACGATCGATGGAATGTCCGTCGCAAATATTGAAAGATAAATTACTCAGCAACTGCGAGTCTTCCTCGTTATCGCCGTTATCATGCTGAAATGTTTCAGCGCAGCTGTGCGCAAGTGTCACTTCCGTGTTCGTCATTGTTGTTATCATTATATGCTGGTGTTGTTCGTTATTCGTGCCGACTGTCGAGTCTATCGATTTATCTGGACGAGTTGTTGAAGACTGCGTTTTTATGGAAGTAACCGTCTTGATCGTTGGACATTTAGCTCTTTCATGGTGTTCTATTTTCTCCTCTGTCTGACTGTCATCGTTTATGTAGGACATAATGTTACGCGAACTCGGCCTCGTCTCGTCCATGTTAACACACTTAACGAAACTCGGTTGCGGGATATTTGCCCATGTCACAGAATGTAGTGCGACATTGTTACTCGACCGTGTCTCGTCGATCAGATTCTCAACGTGTTCTTTCGTACTTGCGTTTGTCAAAGGCATGTCAAACAATTTGACAAGATGAGCATTTTCACTCGGACTTACTATGGAATTTCGTTCAAGTATTAACTCGTTTTCCTTATTATTAATGCTAGTCATCTTCGCTGTTGTCGAGTCAATTTCTAAATTCTTTTGACGTTCAAGATCTTCGAAAAATTTTCGTCTCACCTCGTAGCGCGATTTTACGAAAACTTCGTCCCGAGAGATTGCATTTGGCTCGATTTGCCCGTTAACGAGCGTTTTCATACGTGTGATTAGAAGAGGTTGCTTTCGTTCGGCGGTCGTCGAGACTCTAATGTTTTCCAACTGGAGACTATCGTAAGGATGCTCGGAGAACTGCCGGCCATAGTACTTTCGCGCACACTCGCTGCTTACGCTGCTATAATTGCTGGCTAGTTCGCAATCTGCAAGCATTATGTCCAAATGTATGTCTTGGACATTGGAACCGGCGAACGATCGATCGGTTTGCTCGTTTTGAAGAAACGGAGAGAACATTCACGATCACTTGGATACTCTCCACATTCGCGCGAGTCTTCTTCGTTGCTTATGCTGCGCTAAGTACTAAAAGTAGTGATAGAGATATAGCTACAGCCGAAGAAGCTCTACATCCATTCTCTGGCTATGCGTCTCTTTATCTTTATGTTTAAAATGTATTACACGCAAACCAGTTATTTGTTCATCTATCACATGACTATTACTCATCGTAAAAAAAATTAGCTATTTGTATTAATCAATTATTCTCCTATTCGTTAACTTCTCGTTTAGAAAAAAAACCAAAGTATGATTTTATATTTCAAATTGAATATATAAATGAGAATTTTTAAAAACTCTACAGCGTTTTATATAGAAAAAGAGGAAAAGAGATTAACAAAAGTGCATGAACATCAGTTATCGGTGCAAGCATGAGCATTATTTCAAGTAGTGAAGGAAAACAAGAAAGCTTTCGAGACACATGCCGTATATGTAGACAAAAGCATGATTTGATTTTATCAAATATATACATTTTCATATCAGTGATGATATGAAAATGTATATATTACTCAATCTTTAATATGCATACATATACGTTTTATGTAGATTTATTGCGGATGAGGAGCGTATTCCATACCAAAAGAGATACAGCTTATTCCGGATGAAATGTATCAAACAAGATTAAATCGCATGAAAACTATATACGAAGTTAAACTGAAGATAATACTTTTATATCACAGCTCAGGCTCTGTATTCACGGGTGAATAATCAAATTTCGTAAAACCTTTTCTTCTTAGAATTATTCATTTTTCATCAATTGTCGAAAAATCGCATGTGCAGTTTAGTTATTTTATAAATATAATTCCAGGTGTGTGTGTGTGTGTGTGTGTGTGTGCGCGTGCGCGCGTGCGTGCGTGTGTGAGATTTCTTCAGTTGAACATCGTAAACAGTATGTATCAGTGAATAACTCAGAATGATAGATAGATCCATCCCAAATTTCCCTGTACAGAAAAAACTCACCTCCTTTGTAACCGCTTTGTCGCTCAGTCATTCTATAGCGCATCTCATTAAGGTACTCTGTAGTAGCATCATTCACTGCATATCAAAAATAAATACGTATACGATTTACACCTGTTTATCGGTAAAATGCTCCTCGGGACCCGAAGTTACGTGATGCTTGATAATGCTATTATATACATAATACCCGTGATAGTCACGAAATACATATATCGATGTAAATGTATTCATCTTGCGAATTATCTGGGTATTTATCATCACAAATTAGGCAAACACCAATTAACTCGTGCAAAATTATATGTCTTCATGCACGATTGTAACGTGCTATATTCTTAACGATTAGTGATGAAATTGTTGCAAAGGCGAAGATGCAAATGTCACATGGATTGCTCATAAATAAAAAGTTATAGTCATGCAAGAATCGAGTTAAATTAAAGCGACTGTCTCATCGTAACTTTACTAACCACTTATTAAGAAATTTATGGCAGGCTGATGATATAACATTTATTTGGGGAAGAATTAAAAAAAAAACAGAAAAAAAGATAAGGAAAGACTCACCATCGCTTAACACAACTTCGGGTTGACTCGGCGCAGGCACTTGTTTCGTTTCTATTCTCAATACTCGGGGTTCTGTAGCAAAGGAGTATACGCGAGTATTCGTTAATGATAGAAAATAAAAATATATACAGGGTGTTTCCAAATTAAATGGCAAAACTTCGGGAGCGTGTAGAGGAGTAAAAAACTAAGAAAAAAAGTCCTATAGACATATGCTCCTTTTTGCTTTGTTTCGCAGGAAATCACGAA